GAGCCGAGCCGGGCGGCGGCTCCGCGTTCGGGCCGCGCGCCACCATGCTGGGCCTGGACGCGTGCGAGCTGGGGGCGCAGCTGCTGGAACTGCTCCGGCTGGCGCTTTGCGCCCGAGGTGAGCGGCTGGCCGGCCGGGTGGCGGCCACGTGGGCGGTGGGCCTTCCCGGCGGCAACTTTGGGGGCGCGTGGGGACCTCCTGGCGTTGCCCCGGCCTGACTCCAGCGGGGGTGGGGGCTTGATTCCCAGCGACCAGCAAGGGGAAGGAAGCCTAGGGTCGCGCGCGTGTGAAGTCAGGGAGGCACAGGTCTCTCCCCTAGGTGGGGCTGGGGCTCCAGAGAACCCTAGTCTGGAGGCTCCATGGGTGGGGGCTAGAGCATTATGGGAAGGGCCCAGAGGTAGGGACCCCCTGGAGGGCCCCGGGGCCACCACTCTAGCAGTAGTCCCAGCCCCGTGGTTCCACACTTGGGGTCATCATTCCTCTACGTTTGGCCTCAGAGTCAGGGAGGGCCCCTGGATGGACATCTGGCCAGAAGCAAGTTGGCGCCCCAAGGATGCCCCTTGGCCAGGTGCCTTGGGAGCCTCCTCCAGCCACCAGGGCTCTTGTGGGAGAGGCAGGTGGGATGCTGCCTATGCCCTGGGAGCCCTCTCACTGCTCTCCCTGGTTCACCCTCCCTCTGAGCTCCACCACCTGCCTCCTTCCTAGTCCTTTGGGCAGTGGGAGGCACAGCTGGCCAGGTGGGGGTGCTCCAGCAGGGTGCTCCAGTGCCAGGGTCAGCTGGGGGCAGCACCTCATATGCCTTCTCCAACTCCCAGTTCTCCTGGCTGACAAGGAGGGGGGGCCAACACCACTGGAGGAGGCACTGGACGACGCTGTGCCAGAGTATCAGGCACCTGGGAAGAAGAGCGCCCTGGAGATCCGGCAGCTGGACCCTGAGGACGAGAGCCTCACCCAGTACAAGAGAGCACTGCTGGGAACTCTGCCACCTGTAGTGGGTATGGGCTTGGAACCTGGGCCTAGAGGGCTGTGCCTGGGTGGGGAGCAGCAGGGCATGCTATGGACATTGCTCCTCCTCAGATCCCAGCCTGCCTAACGTGCAGGTGACCAGGCTGACGCTGATTTCGGAGCAAGCTCCAGGGCCCATCACCATGGACCTCACAGGTAATGCCACTGCAGACCACCACCATTTGTCTCTGGAGCAGAGACCTCTTAGGACCCCTGTGCCCCATCCCAAGTCCCTGGGCCCATCCTGAAACCCTGAGGGCACCACACCCCACGTGGGGCTCCTGAGGCAGGATGAGCCCACCCTGGAGTTAGAGCTTACCTGCCATTTCCCTCCCAGGGGACCTGGCTGCGCTGAAAAGCCAGGCGTTCATCCTGAAGGAGGGTGTTGATTACCAGGTGAAGGTTACCTTCAAGGTGAGGGCAGCTGCGGTGGGGGGCACCGGCCGGCCAGTGCCCTGTCCCCAGAGGAACCTTTAACGCCGTCTGTCCCACAGGTCAACAAGGACATCGTCAGTGGCCTCAAGTGTGTGCACCACACCTTCCGCAGGGGCCTGCGCGGTGAGGGCAGTGTGGAGGGCCGGGTGGGGGTGAGTTGGGGCAGGTGGAGGGCAGCCCTGACATCCTGTCCCTCTCTCAGTGGACAGGGCTGTCTACATGGTAGGCAGTTATGGCCCCAGGGCTCAGGAGTACGAGTTCGTGACTCCAGTGGAGGAGGCTCCGAGGGGCGCACTGGTGCGGGGCCCCTACGTTGTCAGGTCCCTTTTCACAGACGACGACAAGACAGCCCATCTGTCCTGGGAGTGGGGCCTCCGCGTCTGCCAGGACTGGAAGGGCTGAATCCTGGCTCTGGCCCTTGTTCCCACCTCTGTCCACTGCTGCAAGGGACCCCAAGCTTTCCCTGGCCCCTGGTCAGTGACCAGACCCTGCCCTCTCTCCGTCCTGCATCCCGCCTGGCGCTGTGCCCCATTAAATGTCGTCTCGCTGCCCTCCGTGTGGCCTCTTTCTGCCTCCCCCTCCCTCAAGGGGGTGCTCTCAAGCTTTATCGTCCCTGAGAAAGGGCCCAGGTGCTACGTGGCAATTGCTGCTTGGTCCCCAGTCCCCTTATCTACCCCAGCCTCCGGGGCCCGGCACTGCCATGGACGGCCAGCTTCTGCCTGTGCTGCTGCTGTTCCTGCTGGGGGCCTCAGGCCTACAGGGACAGGGACCTGAGAGACCCTCAGAGGATCTCCTGGAGGAGACCCCTGGGGAGGAGGTCCCCAAGGAGGATGGGGTCTTGGTGTTGGACCACCACACCCTGGGCCTGGCCCTGCAGGAGTACCCAGCCCTGCTGGTGGAGTTCTGTGAGTGTTTGGGCCAGTGGGTGGGGGGCCACAGGGACTACCCAGGGTCTCCAGCCCCAGCCCTGTGGACTAGGGGATCTTCCCAGAGGCACTGTGCCCAGCACTCCAGCTTCCTAGGAGCACCCTAGGGCAGGGAGCTCTGGGATGGAGTGTGGAGGGGTGGTGGTTATGCGGGGAGGCCCAGGGGACATGAGAACACCCTGTTTGGCCATCTGTGCCCTCAGGCTGATGTCCTGCCGCAGGGCCACTTCTCCAAGCTGCTGGTGTGGGTCTTTCTGCAGGCTCTCTACAGAAGCATGGGGATCTGGGTCTGTAGACACCCTAGTAAATAAATGTCAAATCTGTCCGCGGCAGCCTCAGGAGGCAGCCATGTGTGTCCCAGGAACCCCAGCCACACCTTGTTGTCCCTTGTGCCCCAAGCTTGGGGGCCTGGAGAATCTGACTCCTGATCTCAGCCCTGCCATGGCCCAGGCTTGGGTGGGGTCTAAGGAGAGTGTGCACAGCACACCCCTGCTCCCTCGGGATCTGCAGGGAGGGGCTGTGGCTGTGCAGGCCTGGCACTCATGGCCTCATCCCCCAGTCGCCCCGTGGTGTGGGCACTGCAAGGCGCTGGCCCCTGAATACAGCAAGGCGGCTGCCTTGCTAGCAGCTGAGTCGGTCACGGCCACGCTAGCCAAGGTGGATGGGCCTGCGGAGCAGGAGCTGACGGAGGAGTTTGGTGTGACAGGGTACCCCACGCTCAAGTTCTTCCGTGATGGGAATCGGACGCACCCCGAGGAATACACAGGTGTGGGGTAGGCACAGCCTGGGGTGGGGTGGGCTGGGGCCTGCGTAGACTGAGGGCACACTCCACAGGCCCCCGGGAGGCCAAGGGCATCGTTGAGTGGCTAAAGCGGCGGGTGGGGTCCAGTGCCACCCGGCTGGAGGATGAAGAGAGTGCACAGGCACTGATGGACGCTGGGGACGTGGTTGTCATCGGCTTCTTCCAGGTAGGCTGGGCTGGGGGCCAGGCCATGGGGGCAGCAGTAGTGGTACCTGCCAGCCTCACAAGAGCTGGGCCTGTAGGACTTGGAGGATGAGGATGTGGCCACCTTCCTGGCCCTGGCCCGCGATGCCCTGGACATGACATTTGGCTTCACTGACCAGCCAAAGCTGTTTCAGAAGTTTGGCCTCACCAAGGACACTGTGGTCCTCTTCAAGAAGGTGAGTTGCGCTGAGGCAGGGATCAGGGCTAGGGCTATGGCCCTAGGTGACCCTCCTGGTGTCTAGTTCGATGAAGGACGGGCCGATTTCCCAGTGGACGAGGAGCTGGGTCTGGACCTGGGGGACCTGTCCCGCTTCCTCATCACACACAGCATGCTCCTGGTGACGGAGTTCAGCAACCAGGTGAGCTCAGCTGCCTGGGGGTGCAGAGCTGGCTGGATGGGCCCTGGGAGTCACAGGAAACCATTCCACAGACCTCCCGGAGGATCTTCGGCGCCAGAATCCTCAACCACCTGCTGCTGTTTGTCAACCAGACGCTGGCTTCACATAGGGAGCTCCTGGAGGGCTTCCGGGAGGCGGCTCCCCCACTCAGGGGGCAGGTACTGGGGGACCAGGAGGAAGGGGTGACACGGTGGCAAGATGCCCAGCATGGACTCTCTGCTGGCAGGTGCTGTTTGTGGTGGTGGATGTGGATGCCAGCAATGACCACGTACTGCAGTACTTTGGTCTCAAGGCTGAGGAGGCCCCCACCCTGCGCTTGGTTAACATTGAGACCACTAAGAAGTATGCACCCCCTGGCGGGGGGCCTATCACTTCAGCCTCTGTGGCAGCCTTCTGCCAGATGGTCTTCAGTGGGAAACTCAAGGTGAGCTGGCTAGCGCCACAGGGTGGGGCAGGGAGGGCACAGCCACTCCTGGGGTCCTTCCCCACACAACACCAGAGCTCCTGGCCTGGCCCACAGCCCTACCTGCTAAGCCAAGAGGTCCCCCCTGACTGGGACCAGCGGCCCGTCAAGACCCTTGTGGGCAAGAATTTTGAGCAGGTGGCTTTCGACGAAACCAAGAATGTCTTTGTCAAGTTCTGTGAGTACTGAGGCTGGTGGGTGGGTGGGTGGGTATGCAGGGACCCAGCTAACCAAGTATGACACCTCACAGATGCCCCATGGTGCAGCCACTGCAAGGAGATGGCCCCAGCCTGGGAGGCACTAGCTGAGAAGTACAGGGACCACGAAGACATCATCATTGCCGAGCTGGACGCTACGGCTAATGAGCTCGAGGCCTTCACTGTGTCTGGCTTCCCCAGGCTCCTGTACTTCCCCGCAGGGCGGGATCGGAAGGTGAGGTACTAGGGCTGGGGCTGGGGCAGCCAGGCCTGGCTCCGGGCTGACGCAGGTGGGCTGTAGCAGGAAGCGCCTTTAGCTTCCCACTCTTCCCCAGATGATGGAATACAAGGGCAACAGGGACCTGGAGAGCTTTTCCAAGTTCCTGGACAGTGGGGGTGAGCTGCCAGCAGAGGCACCCACAGCCCCCTTCCAGGTATGCACCCCATCCAGGGTTCTAAGCCCTGGGCAGGTCACCTCCAGGCGGGGCTGGCAGGACTTGGGGTGGACTGAGGGCAGAGCTGAGCTGGGCTTCTGTGACCCTTTCTAGGAGCCACTAGCCAATTCCAGTGTGGGGCCCCGGGAGGAGCTGTAGCCACCACATCACTGCCAACTGTAAGTGGCAGGTGATCCTGGCTGGAGAAGCTGTGCTCCGTGAATAAAGAGCTTTGCACCTGGACTGAGTGTGTGGTTCCTGGCAAGGCTGGCAGCATGGCCGTGGCCAGCCTCAGCCTCCTGGGCCCGCTGCACCATGTAGGACCTTTCTGCAGCCATTACCTGGAGTGCCCCCCTCCACCATGACCTTCACTGATGGGTCTGAGGATGGCAGGGCTCAGCTGGGCCCATCAGCTGTAGTCAGTCACTCCACAGCCAAGGCAGCTCCAAAAACTTTTATTTCATTACTATCCAAGTACCTTGAAAAGATCATTGTACAAGTCATTGCATGGAAAATGGCTGGGTCAGCCCCCTGCTGGCCCTGGCCTGATAAATGTACATATTTACATGGGCCCTTAGAAAGGAGGGTCCCTACCCGCTGAGCTGGCAGCCAGAGACAGGCCCCACAGTGCTCATTGCGGGATTCACACAGTGACAGGCGAGAGAGGGCATGTTGAAGGCACTCAGTGACAGGTACAATCTGCAGGGGCCCCTGCACCCAGCCTGGGCCTGACCGGGTGCCGGGGCAAGTCCAGGGGGAGCAGTGACACTGGCGTTCAGGACCAGTGAGGCCTGCGGGTTGCGAGGTGGACAGCAGGGGCTGCTGGGGTCTCCTGCAGCTCCAGGCAGGTAGCCTGGCTCGGGGACTCTGCTATTGCTGTGGTGGGCCTCCCTCTCCTGGGCAGGACAGACCAGCCTTGGGACTGCTCTGAGGTACCAAGGGCACTGCTGGGTACTCCCCGCGACCCCAGGCTCCGAAGCTGTGCTGTGCTGGCCTCATGTCAGTCCACCTTTTCCACCTTGCCGATGATCTTCTCCTCAAAGATGGGCAGGACAGCCGCGTCCTCTCGAACCTCCTCAAACACCACCCCGCAGTCGAACTCGTCGCTCACCTTCTTGAAGTAGTACCTGGGGATGGGGCCGCAGCCAGTGAGAGGGATTTCTCCCAGAGCCCACAAGTTGCGTCCACCTGCGGCCATATGGTGCAGTGACCACTGAGGTGCTGCCAGCTCCCTGCCTGCTGGGAAGTGTCCAGAGCCCCTGGGAGCCCTGGTCTGGCCCAGGTGCTGTGATGAGGAGCAGGTGGGCGTGGAGAGCTGGGCTCTTCCCATAGCCACTCAGTGACAGAGACTGACCTGGCAGCCTCCACCCGACTCTGAGGTTGGCCTTCAGGGCCTTCTCCACCCTCTGCCCTTCTCAGGGATCCGGAGGCCTCAGCAGGAGGAGCTGAATTGTGAGGCTGGAGCCCAGGTCAACCCAGCACATACACCGACCTGTTTGGGCCTGTTCCCCCACCTTTAGACACAGACCTGATGCTACCCACTCCCCCACCTGCCCAGTATGGAGCAGCAGGCAACACCCAGGACTGGGATCAGTAGGCTGAGGGTGCAGACGAGGGCAGGAGGAGGTGGGAAAGCAGCTCTTCCTGCACAGCGGCACCTCACTAAGGCCCCAGATTCTCTTCTTACCTGTAGCTGCCCTTCTTGGTCAGCAAGTCCTTGAACTGGCCCAGGGTGACTGTGCGGCCCCGCACCAGGGTCCGGTAGGGAATGGGCTCCCCGCAGAAGTAGTAGGCCACAACGATGCTGTCGCAGGGCTGGGCACTTCCGCTGCCCGCCCTCCGCTGAGCCCTCGTCCTGCAGGAGAGAGTAGCAGCTACTGGGCCTGCTGGTGCCTGCTCAGGGCAGCTGGGGCCCTCGCTCAGCAACTCCACACCTGCAAAGACCCTGCCCACATGGAAGTCACCCTGGCCAGTCCTCAGTGGCCTACCAGGACAGGTCCTGCTGCCTGGTGGGAGGTAGTGCCCACCACATGAAGTAGGCACGCGGCTTCTTGCCATAGCCAGGCAGAGCACTTGCTGTCCCCACAACCAGGTGGCCACTCCCTAGTACCCAACTAATACCTAAGTTCTGAAGCTCTTGAAATATCCGAAGGGCCAGGACAGGGCAATCAGACCTCAAAGCAAAAGTTCCCACTGGCTACAGCTGGCCAAACCTCCAGGGCCGATGAGGCCAATACAATATCCTGCCCAGAAGGAGGTGGGCCCTTTCCTGGCAGGTGCCACATGGCTGCTAGATCTGGGAAGGCAGGTCATGACCCTGTGCTCCCAGAAGCTGCTCAGGCACAACAAGGCCTGGCCTCGGGTCCCTGAGCTGGGCACACCAGAAGCTTCCAGAGCCAATCTCATGGCAGGAAGGCAACAATGGGCACTTGTCTCCCTGCCCCCAGGTGAACGGGCCACCTTGGCAGTGTAACTCTTTTGCACACCAAGCTCCCAGGCACCTGTGTTTCTAGACTTTCCCTCAGTACTGTACTCTCAGAGCTCATGGAGGCCATTAGAGAAGTGCCACCGCAATGGACATGCTTCTCCAGGGACAGGAGGAGCAGGTGAGGCATGCTCTGGAGCGGGGGCTCTGCAGTCCCTTGTTTACACAGTGGATCCCATCCTTACACCCCTCTTTGGGGTGAGCCCCCTACGCCTGCCTGGAGCAGGAACCAGGAAGGGGGAGGTCGACCATGTCCATGTGCAGCAGGGCAGGTCCTTGTTTCTGGCTCTGGCCAGTCACACTGTCCATGAACCATACCAAGTGAGCCCTGTCTAAAGCCCCTGGTACCATTTCAAGGGCTGTGACCCCATGCACCCCAGCCTGGGCACAGGCAAGCACAAAGTAGGAGGTAGTGCCTATGTGGACAGGCCACGGGCCCAGATGCACCCTGGCCTTCCAGCCTGTCTCCACAGGGCAGCAGTGACTTCCTAGACAGGGATGGGAGAAAAGGTGGGAGCTGGTGCCCCCTTCTCCAGAACTGCCTCAGACATGGTGCCTGGACTCATGCCCAGAACAGTGCTCGACCCGGCAGGAGTGTGCCAGACTGGCTGGGGTAGGTGGCAGTGGAGGACCCTCCAGGCACACGTACTCTGTCTCGGAGAGCTCCAAGTCCGACACGGCTGGCACCACGCTCAGCACAGGTGTGCACGCTGGCCTGACGCAGGTGCGTCCCCGCTGCATAACCGCCTGCACATACCTAGAGAACAACCCACGTCACTGGGGAGGGGACCACGGCCAGTGCTGCCAGACAGAAGGCCAAGGGCAAGGGGAGGGGAATGTGCTTGTGGGAGGTGGAGGGGACGCCATACCAGGGTGCCTGACTGTTGGGTCTGGAGCACCACGTTTGAAGAGATGCGAGGGCTGGACAGCACTGTAGAGCTGGGCACTCACCCAGGGGTGCACAGCCCCAGGTTTCTGAGTTGAGACATGACTTGGGAGCACTGATCTGGGAGTTAAAGCTATGCTTTGTCCTTAGGGACGACCCTCTGTGTTGTAGAGCCCACCTGCAGCCTCCCCTGAAGCACAGGGGCCCTACTCGGCAATCCGGAGCCCCTGGGGGATCCCTGGTCCTATGAGGGAGACCTGTCCTGGGGTCACAGTGCCCTTCTGCAGGGCCCCATGTCTGGATAGGCTGCTGAACTGCCCTGAGAATGATTTCCACCCTGACCAGCCTGGGCACGGCCAATAAGGCCCAAGGCCACGTCCTTCTCTGCTTTGTTCCGTATATCTAGCTGCTTGCAAAAAGCCCATCCCCTGGACAGACAGATAAACCCAGCAATTCCAGGGTTCTCCCTACACCTGGAGTTGCTGGAGCCACCAGATGGAACCATGGCATGAGAACTGCACCCCAAAATGCACAGCAGAGGCAGCTCCTGCGGATCAGCTGATGTCCCAGGCCAGGAGAAAACCACAGCAGGTGTCTTCCCAGAGCACCCCACCCAGACTAGGGCAGGCTCCAACCAGACATGCATAGGATCTCAGCACCAAGAGGGAACGTCCCTACAAAGAGGAGGAGTGAAGAAGGCTAACAGTAATGTGGCTGCCCCTTCGGTTCAGGTGACTGTCACCCTGGCTCTGAAGTGGGTGCAGGCTCAGAGCCTGTTACAGGTCTGTGGCAGGGCAGTGTCACCTGACACCAGTGTAGCAGATGGGCTGGAATACTGCTGAACCCAGCCTTATCCTCTAGGCAGCCTAGAATAGGGCAGCCCCATAGCTGGGAGGACCCAAGATACTCAGTGAAGGGCCAGTAACTTCTGAGGAAAACAGGGGCTTCTGTGACCATGGCCCAGGACCTGGTGAGGGACACATCTCTATGTATCACAGAGACCTGACCCACTGGGAATTCCAGCCAATGGGTCAGAAGCGCATTCTCGCCTGGAGAGAAAATGCTGCTGCCCTAGAGGGGAGATGCTGCTTCAAGGGGCAGGCAGCAGGTGCGGCGCTTGGGCCTCAGTGCTGGCTGCAGTCCTGCCCACCACAGAGCCCAGATTACCCAGCGGCTGACGGTCACCTGTCCCTGCTGAGTTGGGGATCTGTGGTCTCCACCAGAACAGGTGCCAGAGAACACGCTGGTTCTCCTCCCCCAGGGGCAGTGGCGACATCCGGTATCCCACCTAGACCCACAGCAGGGCCACCTGCAGCCTCAGCAGAGGGGCAGCAGGCTGTCTGATCAAGTGCCTGCACCCACCTCTGCTTGGAGGGCAGCTTGCTGGCTCTCTCCTCCTCTTCCAGACGCCTGCGGGCCTCCTCCAGCTGGGTCAAGGGGTTGGGGGCCGGGTTGGGAGGCATCGTGGGGTCTTGAATGAAGAGATGTGAGGGCTGGACAGCATTGCGGAGCTGGGCACTCACCCAGGGGTGCACAGCCCCAGGGCGCTCGACGGACAAGGGCCTGGAGCTCTCGTGAACCTGCTGCTTCCTCGCTCCCGAAGACCTTGGGGAGCAAGGACAAGCATGGCAGTCCCAGTGCACTGGGCGGGAGCAGCTGAGGCCTGAAGCCGGCTTCAGGGGCTGGTGAGCTCCTAGCACTCAGCAGGTACATTCCTGTCTCGTGGGGTTTTTAACTTCATTTTTAGCAGCTTTACTGAGATGTGAACCATATACAATATATGCAAACTCTTTAAAACCATACACCATATACTATACATACTATTGTTAATTAAAAAGAAATTATTTATGGTGCATGCCTGAAATTCCAGCT